CCTCCCCATGGGGCAGCGCTGACAGTACTGGCCGCTTTGGGGCTCTAGAGAGCTGTAACTTGCTGCAGTCAGAGTGCCAGGCAGGGTGTTTTTTCACAGCCCGAGCCAGAAAGTTACAGCACCGTGAAGTGCCAGTGTGGACTTAGCCTCTATGTGAACATTCTTATTTGAGTGCAAGAGGGGCAGTTACAGATATTTGTGTCGCTTAAATCCCTCCCCGCATGTCAAAGCTAACCTGAAACAGGCACTCTCTTCTATGGGAATAAGTGTGTCATGTCTTCACTTTATGCCTATAACTTTCCTGTGGAGACAAACCTCTTCAGATTTAACCTTTAATTTAGTCTGAGTCTTACTAACATCTGAATCCACATCAAGAAGGAGGATTCCCTTTGCAAATCATTCACAAAATGGACTCCGGTGGTGAAGGCTCTTGATCTAAAGCAGCACTGCTCAAAAAGGCCATGCAGCCTGCCTGGCCACTGAGCCCATATTGGATCAGGGAGCACCCTCCAGTTCTGAGAGAGCTGCCAGTTCATGTTCTGAAGCTTGGGCTGCTGCAAAGAGGTGGAGACATCGGTCCCTGTCAGGTGTGCCAAGGAAGAGGTCATAAGACTGATCAAGGTCGCTCCGTCTTGTGCGGGGACTCGTCTGCTTCCTCCAGGAGGTGTGCAGGCTGGCACAGTGTGAATGCCTGTGTGCAGGATGGAGCAGTGGTGGTGCATAAGGAAGTTAGAGACCCTATTCCACCGACTCTGGGTTCTGGTCCCAGCGCATTTGTTGAGTCCCGTGCCAGGGAGGGTGGTGATTGAGCTAGTGGTATATAAGGCGACATTGGACCTCCTCTGCCTTTCTGTTCTGCCCTCTCCCTTGGTTCAGGACTTCGCAAAGGCCGTGTTGGTGGGGCAGGCTGCTGAATCTGGTCTGTCGGCTCTGATCCCTGGTATTTCTATTTGCAGACTGTGAAAGTGAGTACAATGCTGAGGTTGGCACAACTCCTCTGGCACCCGTGCTGTTGGCATTGCCGGTGTTCCGGTGGCAGCACTCTTCTCTGCTGTCAGTCACCCTGCCACCATTCCAGCTCTCCTCGTCAGACTGGTGCAGTCTGTGCTGCACATCATGGATGCTTTGGCCAGACCATGGCGGTGACCATGAGAGGGGTGTCCAGACTGCAGAATTTGGAAAGTCTGAGAGAGTAAATAAGGAAGTGTGTGTTATCCCTTTGCATACTAGAAATGAGACAGGCAGGCGGCAGGTGTAAAATAAACAAAGGAAGGACTTCACACTAGGCACCGTCATCAGTCTATGAAACGTGCTGCTAGGGGATACTTTGAAGGCCAAAAGTATAACAGGGTTTGGAAAAGGACAAGATAAGTTCATGGAGGGTAGGTCCAGCAGTGGCTATTAGCTGGGTGGGCGGGGATGCAACTGCATGCTCTGCATGTTGCTAGACTCTGTATGCCAGAAGCTGCAAGTAGATGATGGGATGATCACATGATTAACCACCACACTGGGTCAGACCAGTGTCCTGTCTGCTGACAGTGGCCAATGCCAGGTGCCCAGAGTGAATGAACAGAAAAGAGAATCAAGTGATCCCTCTCCTGTTGCCCAATCCCATCCTAGTCATTGGTAGACTTGTCCTCCATGAATTAATCTAGCTCTTTTGTGAACCCTGTTATAATCTTGGCCTTCACAACGCGCTCTGGCAAGGAGTTCCACAGCTTGAATGTGTGCTGAGTGAAGAAAAATTTCCTTTTTGTTTTAAACCTGTTAGCTACTAATTTTATTTGGTAACATCTACTTCTTATGTTTTGGAAACAAGTAAATAACTTTTCCTTACTCACTTTCTCCACACCAGTCGTGTTTATATAGACCTCTATCACATCCCCCTTAGTGTCTCCTCTTTTTATTAATATTTTTTCGTATGGCAGCCTTTCCAGACCTTAATAATTTTTGTTGCCCCTTTCTGAACTTTTTCCAATGCGAAGACATAGTTTTTGAGAAGAGGCGACCACATGTATACGCAGTATTGCAGATGTGGGTGTACCATGGTTTTATACAAAGGCAGCAAGGTATTCTCTTTCTTATTCTCTTTCCCATTTTTAATGATTCGTAACATTCTTTTTGCTATTTTGACTGTAGCTACACACTGAGTGGATGTTTTCAGAGAACTATCTACAGAGACTCCCAAGATCTCTCTTGAGTGGCAATAGCAAATTTAAACCCCATTTTGTATGTCTAATAGGGATATTAAGAGGCGGGTAATTCACTAATCATGTAGTCTGTATGCTCCTTGAGTCAGGGAGGTCCTCTTTTTGTTGTGCAAAGTACCTAATACAGTGAGACCCTGGGGTCTTACATTCCCTGTTAGCCATGTGGCCATGCAGCAACCTATTTAGTGCCATTCAGGTGCTCAGGGAATCAGCAGCTGGCGGGTGGGTTGCCTCTCCACCAGCCCCAGCACAACCCTGGTGTGGACCTGCCATGGTCTGGGGCGGAGTGGTTATCCCAGCTCTGCAGCTGTTGCAGCAGAGAGAGGCACCTCTCTCTGCCATAGCCCTGGGGCAGTCTGTGCCCCAGAATCCCTCATCCCCAGCCCCACCATAGAGACCGAACCCCTGGCTAAAGTCCCCACAACTCCAACCCTCTACTGCAGTCCTGAGCCTCTCATCCCCAGCCTCACCCAGAGCTCGAACCCCTCATCCACCCCAACCCCGAGCTCCCTCCTGCATTCCAAACCCTCAGTCCTGCCCTGCCACAAGAATTTTGTTGGGTGCACCAATATGGAGGTGACGTGTCACCTACCTCCTCCATATTGATGCCCATAACGAAATTCATTCTAGATGTGTGTGGGGAAAAATTAGCGGGAACACTGATTGGCGTCCCCAATTACCACAATACAAATACAGGAAGTAAAAGCACAGTGGTAAAACGTTGCCTTGTCGGATTTAGGGCTTCCAGTGGTGGATCTATAGGGTTGGGAAACTGAGGTACAGGGGGAGCCAATGTAGGATGAGCCTAGTAGACAGGTTACTTGTGACTCTCTAAGCAAGCTGTCACGTACCGACATGTCTAGTCACCCGCAAGGGCTCCCCCCAGTGGGGGTCGCCTTCTCCTTCCTGTCGCAATAGCTGAACTGGCCCTTATTGGCGCTGTCTGGGACGGAGGGGGACTTGGGCCCTCCCTCTCTCCAGGTCCCAACCCAGGACCCTAAGGGTAGGCATTGTGGATGCGCTGACCGACCGGGGGGGCTACGGCCGCAAATCACCGGTCCCCGGGGTCTCCCTGGCCCCGTCCTGGGCTGTTTCCTCCGTCTCGGTTGGTCACTGTCTGTACTCCATCGTCCGGCGGGGGTGCTCAACTCCTCCTGCCATATCGGTCCTGTGTCGCCGCCTCCAGTGCCCCGTCGGGTCTAGCCCGGTCCCGGCGGACCTCCGCTGGCTCGCCCCGGCTCTCCTGCGTTGTTCTCCTCCCCCTCGCTCCCGGTCGGGAGCCATCTTTTCGAGCCGGCGCCCCTTGACAGGGACACTGGTGCCTGCGCGTTGGGCCGTCAGTCCCTCCCCTGGGCGGCCCGCCGGGCAAACGACAGTGCCTGCGCCGGCGGCCGCTGCCCAACAGGCTCCGCCCAGACACCCGGGGCGTCACACAAGAAGTGTTCTAAGCCTTGCCTTGACTTGAATTTAAATTGTTAGTGCTACGTAACACATCCTGTGCTTCAACTAGCTGAGCGCATTTTAAAGTCTAAAGTTATAGATGTTAGAAATCCTTATGGCCTCTGTTTGAAGCAGAGCTTTCTCTTAACTTGTGGTTTGTGTGCTCAGTGAAGAGCATTGCAAAGCTACTTGTGAGAGGAGTGAATCTTAAAAAGGACAGTTGTCGGTGTGGGTCTTCACTGAGCAAGGCTCGTCTGGTGGTGGGAAGCTGGGGTCTTCATATCAGTATGGCTGGTTAAAGAGACTAGTCAGTGGGCTCCAACCTTTTTACACCAAAGATCACTTTTTAAATGTCAGGGCAAGCCAAGATCTACCCCACCCCTTCCTTGAGGCCCTGCCTTCTCCATTTCCCTTTTCTCCATCACTGGCTGTCCCCAGCCCTTACTCACTCTCACTGGGTTGAGACAGGAGGTACAGACTCTGGGGGAGGGGAATGAGGGATTTGGGTGTGGAAAAGGGTGAGAGGCGCAGGAGGGAGGAGGTGGAGAAGGGGATGCTGGCTCGGGACACTATCTTCTTGGACACTTTGAAGCAAACAAGTAACCATATCAGAGAATAAGTGTTCATTTTCGAGTGCTTGTTAACATTGATTCCAATTCAGGTGTACATGCACTGCGTGCACGAATGTTGGAAACTTTTCTGTAGCAGCTCCCATGTAGAGTGGCGCCGCTATATCATCGCATATCTACCATTGCCAACCCTACCCTCCCTCAGTTCCTTCTTACCAGCTGTGGCAATGTTAGCTTAGCTGTAGCTAGCTCTTGCTTATCGAGTGCCTAGTCCTTAGTAAAACCTTAAGACCTTAAAGACTAACAAAACATGTAGATAGTATCATGGACTTTCTGGGCACAATCCACTTCTTCAGATGACTAGAGCATTAAAAGTCCAGATCCAACAATAAATAAGGGAAGGGAAGGGGGACAGAGTTAGGGGTGGGGGGGGGGGATAGTGAATTACATTGTTCACATGAAAATAACCATTTGCACCTCTAAGTACCCATTGTTTGGTTGGTTAAGTCATTAGGATGTGGAAGGTCGTGTGCCAGCCAGCTGATGTCTTTATTCATTCCTCTCTGATAGGAATCAACCTTGTAAATGAAGTTGCATTCCAATCCTTCCCTAATAGTAGCTCTCCCCTAATAGTAGCTCTCGTTTTCCTAATCTTCAACTTTGTTACTCAGACTTTAAGGTCAGAAGGGACCATTATGATCATCTAGTCTGACCCCCTGCACAGTGCAGGCCACAGAATCTCACCCAGAATCTCTTTTTCTTTTTCTGTTTCTCGTGATAATGATCTTCAAGCAAATAAAAGAACAGCAGGCGACCTCCCAAATGTTTAGCCCACACCAGGGGCGCCGGGCATGCCTTACAACCCAAGCTTTAAAGGGTGTGCAGCTTGCAAACACCGGATGCCCAACAGCCCTACACAACGTGTGCCTTTGCTGTTAGGGTGAAGAACATCATACTGAGAAGTTTCAAGCCCTGCACCAGAAAGGACAGGGAGCATAGGCTCCAACAGCTCCCGATGGAGGTGGGGTTAAAACTCACTCAGACCGAAAAATTGGTCCACGGAGCCAGCTCGGTGCACAGTGTCCCAGCCTCTGAGAGAGACACGGCACAGAAGCGGCATGTGGCTAAAGACTTGCAGCACTGGGGATCCCCGGCAGTGAAAATGACGGTACTGAGGCATAAATCTACCTTGCCTGCACTGTGGGCTAGGAGAGAGGACAGAGGCTAGTTCCCAGCCCCCCAGGCCCTGATCCTTCCTTGTCACAGGTGTTACCTCAGGTTTACAGTAGCGGGAGAGCACTACCCGTTTGCTGTTCTGCCGCTTGGCATTTCCTCAGCCCTGCAGGTGTTTCCCAAATATATAGCCATGGTAGCAGCCTTCCTTTTAAAGAGGGGAGTACAGGTGGGCTGATAAAGGCCCGCTCCAGGCCTCAACTCAGAGACCCCGCCCTAGAGGTCTTCGAAGCACTGGGTATCCTCCTCAACAGGGAAGAGTTGGTGTTGACCCTAGAGGATAGAGTTTATGGGGCAACCTTGGACTCGATGCAAGGGAAAGCTCTGCTACCAGAATCCAGCGCCTAGAGCATTTTTGTTGTGCCGGTACTGCCCGGTACGCAGTACCGGCACCTCCAGGCGCAGTACCGGCACCTCCAGGCGCAGTACCGGCACCTCCAGGCGCAGTACCGGCACCTCCAGGCGCAGTACCGGCACCTCCAGGCGCAGTACCGGCACCTCCAGGCGCAGTACCGGCACCTCCAGGCGCAGTACCGGCACCTCCAGGCGCAGTACCGGCACCTCCAGGCGCAGTACCGGCACCTCCAGGCGCAGTACCGGCACCTCCAGGCGCAGTACCGGCACCTCCAGGCGCAGTACCGGCACCTCCAGGCGCAGTACCGGCACCTCCAGGCGCAGTACCGGCACCTCCAGGCGCAGTACCGGCACCTCCAGGCGCAGTACCGGCACCTCCAGGCGCAGTACCGGCACCTCCAGGCGCAGTACCGGCACCTCCAGGCGCAGTACCGGCACCTCCAGGCGCAGTACCGGCACCTCCAGGCGCAGTACCGGCACCTCCAGGCGCAGTACCGGCACCTCCAGGCGCAGTACCGGCACCTCCAGGCGCAGTACCGGCACCTCCAGGCGCAGTACCGGCACCTCCAGGCGCAGTACCGGCACCTCCAGGCGCAGTACCGGCACCTCCAGGCGCAGTACCGGCACCTCCAGGCGCAGTACCGGCACCTCCAGGCGCAGTACCGGCACCTCCAGGCGCAGTACCGGCACCTCCAGGCGCAGTACCGGCACCTCCAGGCGCAGTACCGGCACCTCCAGGCGCAGTACCGGCACCTCCAGGCGCAGTACCGGCACCTCCAGGCGCAGTACCGGCACCTCCAGGCGCAGTACCGGCACCTCCAGGCGCAGTACCGGCACCTCCAGGCGCAGTACCGGCACCTCCAGGCGCAGTACCGGCACCTCCAGGCGCAGTACCGGCAGTCTGGAACCTCAAGTCAGAGCTTTCCTGGAAAGAACGGAGTGAACCTGAACCTCTGTACACAAATGTCCGACAGTTGGCTGGGTCGTGTGTCTTAAAGGGGCCGTGTCTCTTAAAAGGGCAATGCTGGCCCCACACCTTTTTTTTCCCCTCAACTTTACTGACATCTTTTTTCTTTTTCTTTTTCTTTTTTTTAAACAAAAAAAGCACTAGTTGTATCTATTCCCCAGAAGGTGTTGGAGTCCCTCAGGTGGTGGCTAAATCCACAACCTGACAGAGGGCATTAACTCAAATTTAAATTTAAGTGTAAGAAAAATTGAGATGCATAGGCCATTCAAAACTCTAAAGTAACATACTTTGGAAGAATAAAATGACAGAGAATGTATGTGCATTTCAGGAAGTGTCAAGTAGTAACAGTATTATCAGTATGTGCTGGGAGGTGAGTGTGAATGGGTCAGATAGTGTCTGAGTTTGTGTGTGTGCTGGCTGCTGCTGGATAAGTTTGAGATTCACCATGCGCTGTTTCTTTAAGACACTCACCGAACGCTCGCCTGCTCTGTTGTCTGCCCTCCCCCTGCTTTGTGGAGGGGGAGCATGTGTCAGGAAAGAGGGAGATTGTGAACTGGCTGCTGGGAAAATCCCAAACAATGCACTGCCTTTTTAAGAGAGGTTCTCGGTCAATTGCCATTCATAGCTCCGATAGACCTACCTCAGACTGCGGCAGCTGTCTGCTCTGTGGAGGAGGGTATTCTTGCCAGTACTGCTTGGATAAATGGACTGTAAGGTGGATAGAAAGCAGGCTCAACAGCTTCTCATGAGCAACTCCTTACACAGAAATGTGCTCACTCCTATTGCTGGGGGCAGCAGAAGAGGTTCCTCAGGAACAAAAGGGCTGAAGTTCTGCATGGTTGCTTTGGCCTCCATTGACCCCTCCTGGGATCTGGGGGCCTGGCATGCTGCCCTTGACTTGAAGGACACGTACTTTCACATAGCGATAACTCCATCCCACAGAAAATACCTCAGGTTTGTGGTGAACAGCGCTCATTGCTAGTTCAGTCCTCCTGTTTGGCACTTGGAGTGTTCACAAAGTGCATGTCAGTCATGGCTGCGGGTTCCTGCACAGGCAGCAGGTACCGGGGTTCCCATAACGCGACAACTGGCCAATCAAGGGCCAATCCAGGACTCAAGTGAAAATGCAAATCACTTTCATGAAAGTGTCTTTCAATTAACTGAACTTTTTGCAGAAATGAGAAGAAATCAACACTGTCCCTAGTTCAGAGGCTAGAGATTGTAGGTTCAATGCTGGACTTGACACAGGCCAGGGCATTTCTCCCAGAAGTGAGATTTCAAGCCTTGGGAGACCTCATTCAGGGACTTAGGTAGTTCCCCACCACCACAGCAAGGAACTGCTAGGACACATGGCTGCTTGTACCTACATAGTTCAGCCATAGTTCAGACAGACTTCAGCCTATTGGCCAGTGTCCGCCGGTACTCCATTCCCTCCAATGGCAGTTTGACCGACAGGTAGTGTGTGGCAGGGTTCCCTTCACCAGCCCTCAGCCATCTCTCTTGCTAGTGTTGGGTGCTTGAGCCTCGAGCTGGGGGCCACCTGTGGGTGATCTTGGACCATAAGGTCTCTTTGCCACCCAATAGGAATTGCTCCTTCCTGAATCTCAGCCTGGGCTCCATAGTGGACTTGTTCCTCCTCCCATGGGGAGGCTATCTCCTGTGTGTATTTCCATCCTTCCTGCTTGTTCACAGGATGCTTCTCAAGATATGGAAGGAAGGAGCTTCAGAGATCTGGCTCCTCCGGCCCTGAAACTCATCACTGTGGGAAATATCTGTGGAAGCTCCAGTCACTCTGTCACTGTTCCCGGCCTTAATGACACAGGATCTTGGCTGTCTCCAGTGCCTGAACCTCTAGTTGCTGCACTTCGCAGTGTGGAAGCTCCATGGCTGAACTAGGGATGTAAGCGACAAGTCCATCTTCCTGATAAGTGTAGGGTTATTGGGTAGTCGAGTCACTGCTTGACGAGTTGCTTCCTCCCTCCCCTCCCACTGCCTCTGGCAGGAGCACGTGCTGGGGGAGCCAGCTTAAAAGCCAGTTCCCCCACAGCACCATCTCAGGGGGTTAGGGGAGGTGGAGTACAGCCGGTGGAAATGGTGCGAGCAGGGACTGAAGCAGTCCCTGCTTATACCAGGTCCCGTCTGCTGAGCCCCTCTGCCTTTAGGTTGAGCAGTTGCGACCTGGCGTGAACAGCAACTGTTTGAGTTCCTGGCCAGCTCTTACTACATTTACTACAGCGATGAATTCCTCAGACTCAGTGAGTGCCTGCAGTTCTGCTCCTTCCTGAATCAAAGCTGGGCTGGATTGCAGACATGTTCCTTTCTCTCTGGCAGGACGACACCTTTCTCTGTTTCCACCACTTATCCACAAAATGCTACTTAAAGTTCAGAGGGATGACTTCTTGGTGGTATTGATAGCTCCAGCCTGGCGCTGTCAGCCCTGGAACATGTCTCTCCAGGAGATGTCAGTGGAATTGCTTTGCCTCACGGCTTGGAAGCTCAACAATACCTCTTGGATTGCACTGTCTGCTGCACCTAAAACAGCAAGGGCTTTCTGTGTCAAAAGTCCACTTGGCTGCCATTTCCTCTTTTCACCCAGATGTGGGAGGCGTAACCCAATCGTTAGATGCTTTCTTACGGGACTTGACAGGTTATTCTCTCAGGTAAGACAGCTGATTTCCCTCCTCCCTCCCTCCCCTCCCCCCAACGTTAACCTGGTACTTTCCAAACTATTGGGACCACCATTTGAACAACTTGCAACATGCTGTCTGCTCTACCCAGTGCTTTTTTGTGATGGTGCTGCCCGGTACTCAGTACCAGCACCTCCAGACGCAGTACCGGCACCTCCTGTCGGAGCTCAACAACTTTTCCTCTGGAGTACCAGCACCCCCCCCCCCTTTTTTTTTTTTTTTTTTAAAAAAAAAAAAAAC